TACAGTGTTTTTGCAAATAAATCTCTCTGGGTATATCAAAAAACCTGTGACTGACATTTTTTATTCCCAAATGCAGTGCTTTTAATTAGGTGCCTTCTGCATGTCCAGCCTTCGCAATCTGGCATGTAGTGAAAAACATGATCCATTTTCTTTAGAAATGTTTTTTAGAAGAGTGGGGTTTTTTCAAATGTCATTTGCTACATTTGGCTTTAGGGATTTGATTGGAAGGGATGAGTAGGGAAGAGAAGAGGGAAACAGTGGCAAGACCCCGGTAGTGAGGAGTGGACTATGGGTGGAACCATAGAATGGAGAGTTTGCCCCCCCAAGTAGCAGATCCACCCACCACCAAAGCAAACCAGACTGTTAGCTGTACAAAGACCAGCACCATAATTGCATCCAGAAGCAAATTAACATGTTCTTTGTGATTCACATTACCAGCCAACTGACTTTCAGAGCTAGCCCCAGGCAGAGCATGGAGAGCAGCGGCAGCGTCTGCATAGAGGAAATGGTCACTACATCTTTCCAGATGGAAAAAAACTGCAAACAGGGCCACTGATGGAAGGCCAAAGAAAGTAGTTGCCCTGAGGCCTGATGATTCTAAACAGCCTGGAGCTTCCTACCTCTGGCACCACTACTGCAGTGGCAGCGGCACCCAGAATTCCAGGCCCATTAAATCATTGCCAGGTGCTGTGCCGCATGTTCCAGGCAGCGCAGTTGAGGTACACTCTGGGCAGTGCTAAATTCTGGCTGCCTCTGGCTCCACCCCTTTTGCCCAAGGCCCCACCTCTTCTGGGAGTGCAGAACAAGTCTTCCCCCAAGCCCACTTTCGCAGGGGTCCAGCATGGCTGTTGGCTCCTCTGCCTGCAAATCAAAGTGTGAATTCAAATGCACCCTCAATTGTGAACTTCTTTAAAGAATGGTACAGATACTAGCCCCTTCAGATTCTTCCAGCAGCATCCCCACTCTCACTGAGGTAGGTGTGGGGGGAGGAAAGAAGTGGTTCACAAATCTAAGCATTGAAAGGTCATGGCCATGATTAGTAAAAATAATTTGCTGAGCACTCCCATTGTATTTAGTGTTGTCGGGGGGGACAACATAAGTGCCGGGCCCCAGGGCAAGAGGGGGGATGGCTTCGCGCTCCCAGAAGGGGAGGGGACTTGGGTGTGTGGCGGCAGCAGTCATGCCCCCCTTCCTGCACACCCCACAGGAGCAGGAGTCACAGAGCAGTGGAATGCAGCAGAGCAAGTGCACTCGCCAGTTCACTCCACTGCCCCACCCCCGGCTCCTGCCGCTGCGGGGAGTACGGTGTGAGGGGTGATCACGGCCGCCACAAGATTCCTGAAGCCTCAACCTCAGGAGCAGCAGCGTTCCCTGTAATCCCCGTGAAGCTGTGTGTCCATACAGCTTAATCAGCCCCGCCCATTCAGTCAGCTCTGTGCAGGGAGCCCTCAGTCTCCGACTGGGCAGGGCTGATTAATGATCTGTGAAGCCGTGCTGCCCTGCAGCTTAGCGAGAATACTGGTGAGGGGGTCCCCTGTGAGGAGAGGGCAAAGTGATGATAGGAAGAGGCAGGAGTTCGAGCTGGTAATGGACACCCCACTGGTCCACCAGGAATCCCAGGCTGGATTGCACACAAGCTGGTTGGGACTAGCTTGTGGGTCGGGAGTGTGAGACCCTTGGTATAAACCAGATTTTTTTGAAGGAAAATGACTTAAATTTAGAAAAATGTTTGCATCAAAACTTGTTTTCTATCCCCCAGATTATATAACAGATTAGAAAATAAGACCTCCTTGATTTGTCTTATTTCTTCTTGATACCTTCCAATTTCAGACATCTCTTCTGACAGTGGCAGCAGTGTCACAACGGTAACACACATTACCAATGGAGCAATGCTTTTGGGAAAATAGTAATTAGAGCTGCAAAAAGACCAATAGAGAAACTGAGTTATCCCCTTCACAAGAGCCAGATGTAGGCCTATGATATGGGATATTATTATGATACTGCTCTCAATTTAGCATAACACAAAATCAACCATGATGAAATCACCTTTGATTGTGATTTATGTAAGAGATCAGATTTGGCTTTCCCAAACCACCAGCCTGGTCCCTCCCATACTCCACCCTGAGAATACTCACTGTAGGTGTTCTGGGAGCGAAATGTTGCTGCCACCGAGCACCTGACCTTCCTGTGCTCCTGGCCGGGGAGGCTGGAACCATGCAACCACCTCCCCTCCCCTGGTACTCTGGAAGCTGCCCTGCATGCATACTCCCCTCACCTCTCTGCCCCTTCCTGGTGCTCTGGGACGGTTGGGGAGCACTCAGCACACTGCCCCGCTTCTCTGCCCCTCCTGGGAGGCTGGGACATTCTTGGCTCACTGTCCCGTCTTCTCCTCTGGGGTTGGGGAGTGCAGTTGACGCACTGCCCCGCCTGTCTCCCCGAGCCCCAGCTGCACCAACCACCCATGACATTGGGTCAAATGATGATTTCAGCTACCTTGGTGTAAATCAAATGACTTTTGTGTAGTTACTCTGGATTGATAGCAGTACCACAGTGGTCAAAAATTAGCCCACCATTCTCTCTCTCTCTCTGCTTTTTCCCTTCCTAAAGAGGGGTTAATAGTTACCAAGGGCTCTAAGAATGTGCAACAACCAACATGTGTTTTCTTCATTTTACCAGGTTTTGAATTTTTTGAAACAAGTGCCAAGGACAACGTAAATGTCAAGCAGACATTCGAGCGGCTTGTGGATATCATCTGCGACAAAATGTCAGAAAGTCTGGAGACGGATCCTGCTATCACTGCTGGGAAACAGAACACAAGACTAAAGGACACCCCTCCTCCACAGCAACCCAACTGTGGCTGTTAATACAGCTATAAGCAGAGGCAGCTCCAGTGTGTTCTATTGCCAACAGAGTATTTACAGATGGTCTATAAGCCTTTATTTATACTGTCTTTTTAATTTATTTGGAGACAATATGTTTATGTCAGTGGCTGGTACAATATGTGCAAACAGTTTGTAAGGACTGCCCATTTCTCAGCATCTGGCCTTTGCATGTGGATGGCTGTTTGTCTTTTCTTTTTATCCTGTGTACATTGTACTTACTTCAGCTGGTTCGGTGACCCCAGGGCACAGGTTGTTTATAACTGACTTTAACCTCATCAGTTTCAAATTATACCATTTACTGCTTGGTGTAATCACCACAGCATTTGGGAATAAGCTTTCTAATGCCATTTAAATTTCCCTTGACTGAAAAATCAATTTTAAAGTACTACCTGAATATACTGTCTATTCCCAGATAATTTGTCTGATGCACACTTCTCTGAGGGCAATGCTATGGCAATCCATGACCACCAATGAAATTCAGTTATCTCTATGCCACTAGGAAATTCAGAGTGACAACAGCTGCCTAACCCCAAACCCAGGCTCCTATCCCTTTATATAAGGAGAAATCCTTATCTGCTACCTGCTGGCAGGATAGGGGCTGGCTCTGTTCCAGTTCCATCCACGAGCCAATTCACTATAATACTGATACAGAAAAAAGTTGTGAAATGTCCATCTTACAGATACATGCTTTACAGAAGGTATATGCTACAACTCTTGATATTACCCTACCAGACCCAAATCTGTTGTGTACAATTATTCATAAGCAAAAATAATCTACTCATATTGTTCTGGAGGCTGCGTAATTTGGCCTTTAGGAATTTCATGTTTCATTCTTGAAAAGAATGTCTATATATTAATTTTATAGTCTGAGAGAATCTTCTCTCTATTGATTATAAAAGCCCATCTCTCTCTTCAGCAGTGCTATTCCTATTAAAGACAGCAAGACTTATTTGTGAGGACAGGAATGGATCCATTCAATTTGAAAAATAGTTTGGTCTAGACATATCTTGTAACAGGACAGTCAGAAATTGGCAATGTTTTTTGAAAATTCATAGAGAAATAAAAAGTTTTCTAAGGAGTTCTTCCACTAGACCATATTAGTCAGAAAATCTATGAAGTGCTGTGAAAATAACTGAATAACTGCAGGTTTGGAGTCTGTTTTTTTTTTGTTTTGTTTTGTTTTGTTTTTTTTAAAGCATTTTAAAAAATGCTCTCATTATGTTAATAAGCTCTTGGTCTGCTAATTGGTAGCACATTGTACTATTGCCTTATCTGGGTTACAGCAATATTCCTCCATTAATTACATCATTGAGGCAACATTCACTTCTTATTGTTCTTTATGACATCAGCTTTAGTACCAGAATGACATTTCTCAAGCCAGACATAACAGAAAAAAGGGAAGAAAACAGGAAAATGAGTCAGAGCAGCTGCTCACACCATACCTGACTGCAAGGAAATCCCCATAAAACACATTGTTTTTTTTTCCCTAAGGTAATTTATATAATGTCATCAAACACACTAAGGCCATGTCACCACAAGGAAAAAAGGTGTCATTTTACCTAACATTGTAACTACTGTATTAAAATGCTAGTGCAGATAAAAGTAACACAGTTGGCTGAGGTAAACCCAAGTGTAAACTTGTATCATAACTATAACTTGGCATGGCTACACTGGATCTTAAACGTATCATTTAACATGCTAGCTAACTCCCACACTTTTTTTTTTTTTTTTGTGAAAAATGAGCCATATCATTTAATTCCATGAAAAACCAGAGGAAAGAGAAAGGTTGGCTGCTCACTGCTCTGTTATGGGCAGATTAGTAAGGAAGGGGAAGAGGAAAAGGAAGTGAAATTGAGCTCAGCCCATTTACCTAGCTCTTGACAATCCTATGGCATTCTAGTTACTACTCTCCCTGACTTTCCCTCCCACTTTTAGGCCATCAGTTTGATAGCTGCACTCCTCTAGCTGTTGCTGTCCTCTGAGGTAGAAGTTTCATGGCCAAAGATTTTATTTTTCCAATAAAAAATTTAAATGTTTTAAGGAAAGCAGATGCTTTTCAGGGGAAAAAATGTTATTGAACCAATGTCCCCTTCATCTCACTTTTTTTTTAAATGGAAAATACTCCTGAAGGAAAATTTGCAACCAGTCCAACTAGCCCTGGAGAACTTCTCTCCATGATTCCTGGTGTGATGCCGTCAACAATGGTCCCTCTGGCAGGCACCATGGTGCTCAGTAGACTATGCATATTTAATTATGACTTGCTAGAAGGGTAGAGAATAGCAGCTGTAGAACAAAACATTAATTCATAGATTTGAAATGCCGGAAAGAACCACTGTGCTCATTTAGTCTGAGCTCCTCTATAATACAGGCTGTAGAACTTCCCAAAAATAGTTTCTAGAGCATAGCTATTAGAAAAAACACCCCAAACTTGAATTTTAAAATTGCCACTGATGGATACTCCACCATGGCCCTTGGTAAAATGGCCTGGTGCTTAATTACACTCTCTGTTAAAAATGTCTGTGTTATTTTCTGTCTGAATTTGTCTACCTTCAGCTTCTAGCCCTTGGACCATGTTATACTTTTAATGCTGTTCGCTAACTTCCACTGTGTTTCCCTTTGTACCGTATGTTTCTCTAGGGAAGCATGCCTTCCATTGCAGTGAGCCAGGTCCCTTGTAATTGTGAAGAGTTCCAAGCACTGCTGTAAAACAGGGCTTGCTGCCAGTCTCCAGGATGATGTGTGCTGTAATGCCTCTAGTGTGGGCTGTAGCTCTTCCAGTACATTTTGCTTGGCCTCCCACCATCAATCCCCTCCTGGTATTTCTTGGTAGATGGCAGCTGGGACAGAGGATGTTACCACATCTCACACTAGTTCAGACACACACTCTGGAATGTTTGTAAACCACAAGTCCTAGTGCTCCCACAATTTTTGCTCTGGGACACTGGCTGCAGCAGAGCTGCATCTTGTGCAGCAACATGAGGAGAAGAGACTGTTTGCCATCTAACGCATCCAGTGCATGCCTGGATTTGCTCTCATAGAATTTAAGGTCAGAAAGAACCATCACAGTCATCTCACTCTGTTTTACTTCCAGTCCAGTGTTCCTCCGATGACAATGTAGGCACTCTGTCATGCTGGGACTGGAAGAACAGCTGGCAATACTAGCTAACTTATTAAGAAGTATGAAGCAGGTAGGATGAACGATAATGTTTTTATCAATTTTAATAAAAAAACTTAAATAGAAAGGGAGAGGATTGTAGGAGGTATTCTCCTCTCCTTCCTCTTCTCAAAAGAAAAGCTTGTCCTGCCTCGACCCTGTTTAATACATTACAAGCGAAGGGAAGATAGCAGGCTGAAAGAACAAACTTCTTATGATGTCAGACATGCTTTTAAGGAAGACACATGCATACAGGAAAACTAGTATCAGAGATGATGCAAAAAAAAACCACCCCTTATTCCTTTATAGGACTTCCCACTTGATTTGTAGCTATATGGAAACTTTTCATTATATTCCCCTCACCAAACAGTGTTTAGAATTAGTTTTGGATGACCTTTAAAGGATTCTTAGATTCAATTCCAATCACATTCCAAAAGTCTAAATTCTTAGCCAGACTTTAGCTTAGTCCAGAGGGCCGGAGTCCTGCAAACATCATGATCCTTTTAGCAGATGGGAGTAGGTAGACCCTTGCACTCACAAATCTTGTGACTGTGGCCTTGGGCTAGCAGTCCTGCAAGATTTCAGGCTGGGAAACATCATGAAAACCATTTTTAGCATAGTAGCTTCATTACTTGGTCTTTCCATTCTTGGCTGGAATCAACGCCATTACAGAGATACACACAAGAAAAGTAATCTTTTCAAATCTTACCATCCTTTTCCAAAAGGGGGAAGCATCAGAATTGTGGCTTTTAATTTTCCTTTGAGTTGTCTCAACCTATTTAATTCTTGGGATTTTGGGAAACAGTGACAAGCTAATTCTGTTTCCATTGACTTCACTGGTAAAACTGTAAGAGTGCATCAACATAGCAGGGCTTAACTTGAAATAAGCTACACAAACAGAGCTACGTCAATTGAGTAGCTTATTTTGAAATTGGGAGTGTCTACACAGCACTTATTTTGAACTAGAGCACTCTTCCTCTCACTTCCCTTACTCCTCGTACAATGAGGGTTACAGGAGTCCGAGTAAGAAGTCCTCCAACTTGATAGCATTTCAACATTATTTCGAAATAACTGCCTGCTGTGTAGACTCGGACTAAGTTATTTTGAAATAATGCTAGTTATTTCAAAATAATGTTGCTGTGTAGACGTGCCCTCATTGACTTCAATGGGAGCAGAGTTAGGGCAACAATGAATGCCTTGGAAAATCCCACCACATATGGTTTCCCACCACACACAGTCATTGGATGTATGTGATGGAGAAGATAAGAGCAGGAATCAGATCCATGTGTGTGACCCATACGTTTGTGAGGGTCAGGAGAGTGTTGCATAAGTACAGAGGTCCAGCCACACAAAGCCAACGTGAGGGTCAAGACTTAAAATAATCACAAAATATTTCAAAACTTTTAATTGGCAGCATTGTTAAACCGGCTACTTGGGGCCAGATTTTGAAACACTAGTTTCCTCATCTCGGTCCAGTTCCTGGTGGCCACATCATAAAATCCAGGACCAAGCAACCGTAATTTGTAGCTTTGATACTAGTTTCAGGAAGAAGTAGGGAACTGAATGGCCCGTGGTGACTCACTGGCCCTTTCACACTCTGAGGTCAGGTTTTAAGGCCATTTGTGAGACACAGCAAAGCAGAAGTAGTTTGCTCTGCCTCTGCCAGTACTGTCTGTTTGATGGATACAGAGAGTACATCAGCCTCCAGGGTTTTCAGTCCATCACCAACACTGAATTTTAAAGAAAATGTTATCATCTACTGACTTTATGTTCACTCTGGCACAGACTATGGAACTACTCTGTCTGCATGTAAAAGGGAGGGTGGGGAAATTTGTTTTGCAGTCTTATTTCTCATTGAGGGCTCCAAGGGGGTGTTATCTGGAGAAAATACTATATTATTATTACTCTATTGCATTGCCTTGAGTTAATGGCTGTTACCAGAAGTGGGGAAGGGGGCTCCTTCTCCATCACAGTTTAATGGGAGATTAGACCTTGAAGTGGACAAAAGCCACATTGCTTAGGGTCTGAGCCCCATGGTGCCAGCCAAAATACTGCATGACACCACACTTCCAAAGTGCTGACCCAGAATAACAATATTAGTGCTACAGTAATTGCATGCATCTTTGTCATGGAGTCACAAGTGTCTTTCTCAGTGCATGGGCAGGCTATCGCTCAGCATTCCAAACAGTAACAAGTGGCACAAATAAATGTAAGAGACAGGCTCCTGCAGCATTCAAGTGCATGAATGGATGGGATTGATCACAATGGCTTGCAAGCCCTTTTGAGTTGAAACTGCAACTGCATGGTCTTAATTCTGACAAAAGTGCATTTTCAGATATGATAAATGTGCCTGTCCTTATAGATCAGTTATTTTGTAACTGTGTTTGTATTTCATCCTGTTTGTTTAGACCAATTTGTTTGGTGTCTGAAATGCATATAAGCTAGCCTGTCTTTTAATTTCTTTCTCTCTCTCTCTCTACATATATATAGATATAGATATATAAAACCACTCATTCTTTCTCTGAATTGCAATGTACGTGACTGTTACCTGGAACTGTTTGTTCCTTTGTGCTTATATTTAAAGTAATGCAGAGAGAAACTACCTGAGCAACTAGATCTATGTGGCCTTTCCAGAGCATCAGTCTGAAAGATTAAGTTTTCTTCCCAGTCTGCTCAGCTCTGTATGTCCAGCTGTGCTGCCTGCACATTTTTTTATTTTAGGACTGAATGAAGTGCTATTTCATGGTGCAAAAACTCTGCTGGAGCTTGATCCTAATGTTCAGAATTGCCTGAATTTTAATTGTCTTTTCCTGGGACATGCTTGGCATACTAAATGTTATGCTTATTGCTGCCATTGTTTCTTCAATAGCAGAGAAGCCAATGATGCTTTCTATTAAAAAAAAATTACGGGCTTCATTTTTCAGTAGCATGGTTTGTCATTGTCACTTTTCAATGGCAACAACTAAATGGCTGTTCCATTGTTTGAATGTTATGAATGTTTCCTTGATCCATTGCAGGGCAGACTTGATTTACACTGCAAATGGACCAGATTCCCCTTGGGCGTAACTCAAGTGGAATTGCACCATTAATGCTTTGAATCTATGGGGCCCAATCCTCAGCTTGTATAGTCCAGCATGGTTCTGATTAAACCAATAGAATTATGCTATGTGTATTCCAGCTGAGGTTCTGGTGTGTGGAGTGTTTTTAATAGCAATTGGAAATTAGATTTTTCAAGGTTCAATACTTGTAAAGTCTCCATTCTAAAGGCAACTCATCTGAATAGTCTGAGTATGTAATAGATTTTATGTCATTAAATGGGACAGGTAAATTCATTTCATTGTGTCTGTTACATTTATTTATTTACTTATTTATTTACTTTATCTTTTCTTCAATATTCATCCAAGCAAAGATTTTTACTGTACATGTAGAATTCTCACACACAAATATATCCTGAACTCTGGTTCAGTTTGCACAGCTATTTGTTTTCAGTGCAGTGGTTTTTATTATTATTATTGCAGTGGAACTTATCCATGAATTCTCATTGTCACTAGAAAGTGCTTGGGTTAAATCCACAGGCCATAGAATTACTGTTCATGGTGATGGCAGGAGCAGATGGCACATCACTTGTACACCTGTTATGGGGGAGGGGAGAGACCATGTCCTAATCGTCTGACAATTTTATGCTCTTGCATAACATGTGGAAACAAAAGCTAGGGATTGCTCACCACTTCCAGTAATGAATTTACTTGAGTAATCCTGACATGTACCTGCAAATTAGTGTTAAATGAAAACTGTTTGTGCTGTATTTCCCGTTTAATATATTGTTGATAATGTCAGCTGTGTCGTGGTTCAATTGGACTGTCAGAATGTATAACCTATTTACTAGTGTTTGTGGAACTGAAATGTCTTAAATGTTGCATGAAAAATGTTATAAAAATAGATTTGTTTTCTATTTTTGAACACCTCTGAACTGAGGGAACATGGGCCAATAAGTGCAATATTTAATGACTTACTCAGTGTATATAAAATGTTATGAAAGGGAGAAGTGTCATGTACGTGTGATATGGTGTTGATGATGACTGTGTGGCTTATTTAAACGATGTCTAGTAGCTGTGTCTAGTAGTGAAATTTATACAGTAAATACTTTATTAGTGTAGTGTAAGAATAATCTATTCTTAATTCTTTAAACTATTTTTCATATGGGACAATGGTAACAGAAGTCTGTATCTTTACTGCAAGTGCATGTCAATTTTACTTTTTAGAATTGTGTGTGTCCTTTCCAAAAAATGGTTGTGTTATATCAATAGTAGGGGGGAGACCTTTTCTTGGTTAAAATATATGCTTAGCCATTTCTAATAACAAAAGCAAAAAACCCACATAATATTTTAAAGCATGTTCTCTGGAAACAGAAAAAGAGATTGTCTTGGAACTCAGCTCCTAAGGAAAAGCCTTCATTTTTTTCTCTGACTAGTCAATTACATGCTGTGTGTGACTACAGCATAATGTCATGTGGCTGCTTTTTAAAAAATATATAGAATTCTATGATTTGTTCTTGATTACACTCAGTCTACCATATTAAATAGGAGTCTTCAACATTGTTTATTTGGCATCTTTTGCTTGGTGTCTTGAGTTCACAATGGTTTTTTTTGAAGGAGCTTTTATCTCAAATCCAGTGCAAAATGCTAACCCTTACTGACCCCAATTCTGCTGCTTCCATCCCTAACTTTTAATCAGTTACTAAAGGAAGATTAGAAGATACATTCTATGCCAAATTCTACTCTCTTAGGGCACGTCTACACAGCAGAGCTAAAGCTGAAATAAGCTATGCAACTTCAGCTACGTCAATTGCGTAGCTTAAGTCGAAATAGCTTATTTCAGCTTTTGGCACTGTCTATACAGCAGGAAGTCGAAGGAAGAACACTCTTCCTTTGATTTCCCTAACTCCTTGTGAAATGAGGGTTACAGGAGTCAGAGTAAGAAGTCCTCCAGCAGGCTTGTATTGTAGATGTGCTCTTTGTTATTTCAGAATAATGTCAGCTATTCCAAAATAACGCTGTTGTGTAGACATACGCTTAGACTGCTATAAATTTTGAGTAACTCCCTTGGGACCCATAGCGTTCCTCTCAGCAGTGTGAGAACAGAATTTGGCATAATATCTTGACTAGAAATTAGAATGAGACATCAAATCATCTTCTCCTTTTACTTGAGCCTGGCATTGTTGTACTCGTACATTCACTCAAGGGCCTCAAGTGAGGCAGCACCAGCTTACGTTCATCCTTAATCAGTAAAATATTTCACCACATGCTTAACAGGAGGCATGTGGTTACTGTATTGCCAGTGGTTCCCCTGTTGTGATTGAAAACCTCTGTGCAGAAATTAAAGCTGTTAATTGACTTATGCTGCATGCCTGCTTGTACAATTTGCTGGTTGTCTAGAGGAACATGAACCCCACTTTAGTGGGATGTTACTGAATAAGTGTGAACTGATGAATCAGGGCCAAGGTGAGTAAAATTTTGATGGGTTACTAATATCATATTCATTTTTTCACCATTGGTATCATAGTGAAAGGCACGAGTAGATTTTGTGCCTAAATCTGATATCTTGTTATGACAATATTACAAGGCTATTTCAGGTTCTGTTGCAGGTATTTTAGAAAAGCTAGCTCTCAGAAAGCGACAACACAGGAAACCAATAGCTCTGCTTTCTTTTGCCTTTGCCATCTCACTTAATAGTGCTAGAAAACAAGCAAAATAGTCAGCTTATATTAAACAGTACAGGACAATCCTAGCGAAGGCCTAAGCATCTGTCCAAATGCTTCCCTGTGGTTTATACTTCTGTTGCAAAACCATCTGCCAAATTATGCACAATTGCATGAAACTGAAAGCTTGTGATGAGGGAAATTTGAGAACTGCAGAATGAAAGAAACAAATATAAACATCCCCATTTCCAAGGCAAAAAACACAGCCAGGCTAAGATACTACTGAAATGCAAACACACAGATGGAGGATGCATTGCCTATGTTTTACCGCTCTTAAGTGACCTGACTGCCCAAGGGGCTGACAAAATTTTTATCACCATGACAAGTAATTTTACCTGGTATTTTTACTATCCTCTACATGTACAAGTACATTAAAAAAAATCCCGAACGCCTACTTTGAAAACGTGTAACTGTTCTAACTCCCCATACTAATTGTACATGCTGAACTGTTCTTGAAGAGATGTTGGCGTATCTGCTTAGAATATATTTGAGAGGTGGTTTGGATTCAACTTTCCCTCTGACTCTAACTACTACTACAATATAGTGACTGTGGTTCTAACAATGTAAGTTTAAAATGCTGCTGGGTGACAGATGTTTTGACTTCTGCATATGTCCACAGGAGCACTTGTCAGGATGTGAAGTTTTATCCATGTGCAGAGTTTCTATGTGGAAGTAAAGATTGTGTGTATTCCATTTGGATATTCTTTTTGTATGTGACTTCTGTATAACAAGTGGCTTTTGTTTTGTTTATTTTTGTTTGGGGTATTAATTTTGAGATTACAATAAATATTCAAGAGACTATATTCATGAAATTTTCTGTTGTGGTGAGGTGCCTTCCCTCACCCAGCAGTGCTTGTTTAATTTGTTGCAGTTATTAAAGTGGTCTAAAAATTACTTCAGATTTGACCTACTGTATGTAGTAATGTGACACCTACAGTAGCTGAGTGTCCCTCCCACAAGTAAACATCTTCACTCTGAAGGGTGAGCTTCACAAACTATGGGCCTGGTATTACTCTTACTGAATTCAATAGACTTTTTGCTCTCAGCAGGAGCAGGATTTGGCCACTTCCTTAATGGCAGTACAGAAAACAAGCACAATAAGGTACATTGGTGAGACAAAGTTGCTATCTTAGCATTAAGCCTTTGAGAAATACTCAAGCCAAAGAAGGACAAGGTTGGTGGCAAAGACACAGACAAAATAAAAAATTGCCCTTTAGTGCAAACCAAGCACTGGGTACCTATTAAACTTTTCTGGGAAAGGCAGTAGGTGTTGTACCTGTTTGTTGCTCATCTTCCCAGAATTTGCAGAGTAACGATCAGCTGCTTAGAGCACATCCATAATTACCAGAAAAATAGATGTACCAGTGGTAGATCTTCTGGTGTTTGATTTAGCAGGTCCAGTAAAGACCCATAACGCTGAGGGTAGCTCCTGCTGGTAACCAATAGTCCTCCTTTTGTGAAAAGTTGATGAGAAGTAGATGGTAGCATTTGGACGCTGTGTGGACTCTACCAAGCTCGGCTTAAGGTAAGCTGACTCCAGCTATGCATTTTGCATGGTGGAATTGCGTACCTTAAACCAACCTTCCTGGTCTAGTGTAGACCAGGCCTTAGATACCATGCTGATGGGTGCAGAATAAGAAATAAGCTTTAAAGTAGTGTTTTTACATAGTAATTTCATGTTTCTACTAATGATAGCTTAGAAACAAAATGGAAATAATGTTTCATCTCCCATTAGCCTCTTGAATTTTGCAGGGGTTTTTTGGGGGGGCGGGGGGGAGGAGCTGGTGGGTAATGGGTTGCCTGGCATTAATATTTCTAAAGCTGTAGAGCCAAACTGTCTTGTTCTCAATACTTTAGACTTGTACACACCAGCATGGATTGGCACAGTATAACTCACCTTTGCATTTGTGCACAGCTTGGAAAGCCCATGTACATTATAGGTGGAGTTCACCCCTCAGAAGAGGGCCAGGACAAGGTCTATACATGACACAAAACAGACCATAAGTGACACCCCAGCTTCACACAACCTGCTTCTAATTCTTCAGAAATAAGCTTCTATCATTGCTATAATTTAATGTACTATGTGTGTCTTACTAAAAAGAACAACTTAGTCTGTATAAGACCCCTTCTTTTGTTAAGGTATTTTATATGCTTTCCACTCATTGCTTCTTTCTAAAGCCACAAATACCCTTGCTCGAAGATGTACCATAGTATGGCCTACCCCGGAATCTTCCTCCCATACAAGTTCTGGTCTCAATATTACTTTCCAGACTCACTCATCCCATCAACTCCTGATTCAGTGGCTTCTCTTGTGGCCATTCAACAGTGCCCATGCCACTATCTGACCTAGTTTTCTTCCAGTAAACCACCCCCCCACAAAAAAAAATCCCAGTTTAAAACACACAGCTCCCAGAATGTCTTAATCAACCCTTATAATTTTCATGTTCCTACCTCAATGGGACGCACTAGTTCAGAGATGCTGAAACAATTTGGCTAGTGGGAAGCCACTGAATCAACCTATAAACCCTATAAAGGTTGGACCTCTATAATCCAGAGTTCCATACTCTGGCAACA